GAATTAGGTACAAGAGAAGAACAAACTTTTAGGAGATGAAGATCCTTAAAAAAAAGTGCTATTTGAAAGAAAACAGAGGAAGTGCAGGGGAAGTCTATTTCCTGACCATGGCTGACAGTCCTGTTCTACCCTCACAGATTGTCACAGTGTCACTGAATCTCCCATAAGTTCAGATCATTTGTTCCCAAATCCTGCAAATGCACCCTTGCTAGTCAGGTTTGGTACTAGGCCCTGCCTCTGAATTGGGTCCTATTCCCACAAAGCAATAATGAAATCACAAGCATCTTACCCTTCCCCATCTGGGAGCAGGGCCCATGAGAGGGGCTCAGGGCGGGCCCTGAGGACTCACTCACCACTCAATCTCTTTAGGATCACGGTCCTTCAGCAGGTCTTGCACCTCCTTCCGGCAGCGCTCCTGGTATTCCGGGTGCTTTGCCAGGTTGTACAGGGCCCAGGAGAGACCACTGGCCGTGGTGTCATGGCCTGAGGGGCAGTCAGGCAGCCTTGGGCCTCTGGGCTGCTTCAGCACCAGAGGGTGGACAGCGCCCAAGCATTGAGGTCCCAGGAAGGATAGGAAAGAGGAGAATGGACAGAATGCAGTGATCCAGGGTCCACCCAGCCCATCGCTGGGGTGGAGAGACCCTCCACCCCCTCTGTAGTCCTGCACGGGGGCCCTCACCCTCAAACATGAAGGTGTCAGCTTCTGCTCTTATATCCTCATCCGACAACTCTTTTCCATCTTCATCCTGGAGAGAAGACAGGACATCCCACACCCCAAATTACACCAGGTCTGCAGGATCTTCAGTGTGACTGACTCAATTTCAACAGATCTGACTTTCAGGGGCTGGGGCTGGGGCTCAGCGGTACAGTGCTAGCCTAGCACATGTGTAGGCGCTGGGTTCAATCCTCAGCACCACATGAAAATAAATAAATAAAATAAAGGTATTGTGTTTGACTACAACTAAAATACTTTAAAAAAAAAAAAGATCTGTCTTCCATCCAGAAACCCAAGCCACATGCACCCCTAGACCTCTCTGTTGGTCACCATCACCTGAATCCCCACCACACAGTCATCCTGCTGGGGTTCCTTGCCTCCTAGTTTGTCCCTAGCAGGAGGAATAAATGATCCATGAATATTTTCATATTCTGTATAATTTCTGTATAATAAGGAGTTTCTGAGAAAAGGTTACTTACTGGAACTTGGGTTAGAGGATTATTAAATGGCAATTTACCTTGGACATTAAGCATTATTCCAAATACATTTGCTCATACTCTCAAGTGAGAATCTTACCTTATGTCCCCAGAGGGATTTGGTTCTCAGGCCAATAGACTTTACCTTTCCACTGAAGATAACTTGTTTATTCTCCAGAACAAAGTTTGGTTCCCCTCCCTCTCCCCCTGCCAGAAGAGCAATTGTGCCACCTGTCCTATATAAGCTTCAAAACTCAAGATTTGAAGCTTCAAAACAGATTAAAATCTTGCATCACCTGGGGAAGGAAGAGTTGGGAATTGGGAACCATTGCTACAATCCTACTCAGGTTGCCTTTACTGTAATAACTGGATTTTGTATGTCACTTAGTCACTTATGGAATTGATCAAAGTGCTTGGTGCATTTGTCAACATAGATATAGACACAGATATAAATGTAATATACAAACTTCTTAACTTGCAAACAGATTAAATTATCAGGCCCTTCACAGTTTCAGACTATGGAGTCCCCTGCTGGCTGCATCCAAGAGTTATCTCTAAGATCTATTTAGCTCTGGCTTGCTCCTCCCTTCTCAGATACCTCCTAAGGCTTCTTAGTGTCCTCCTGTTGAGAAGCTCACCTTGGTCAGCAGGAGCACATCAATGAAGTCCAAAGTTTTGGACTCAGCCTTGGCCTTGAGGAAGTCACTAATACCGTGATCAGGGAGGGTGCGGCGCCGCTCCTGGATGACAGCATCTGTGAAGTCATGCACCAGGCGGCAGGCCTTACGGAAGCGCTGCCCACTGGGGCTGAGAAGGTACAGGAAGTCCATGTGCATGAGGAGTTGCTCGTTCCTTTTGACCACGAGGGCACTGAGCTCCAAGATGGCAGCAATATATTCACTGGGCTTCCTGCAGGATGAGGACATAAAAGGAGGCAACAGCTCCACATATCTGATGCCCAAGGAGGACTTCTCACCAGCGGCTGGGAGCTACCTCCCATCAGGAAAGTGAGTATCCAGAAACACATGGCCTCTCAGATACACAGTGGATATAGGCCATCAGGTTGACTTTCCTTTGTCTCTTCTCTCTCTGCAACCCATCTCTGTGACCCACCTCCATGCCCCAAGCAACCCAGAGCACAGGCTGGACATCAAGCTCCTCTCCTTTGTTTAGTATCCAGTCCTGTCCTCTTTCCTGCCTGATACTGTCCACAGCTCACACATCATTCTCTTC